CTACTACATTGGGTCATTGTGAGGATTCACTAACAAAACTGCCTAAACTACTTAGCACATTTCCGGCACCGAGTAAGTACTCAGTAAATATTAGCCTGACAAACATAATCATCTGCTGCATGCATGGTAACCTCACCCATCCCGTCGTGGAGTAGAAGAAGAAAGTAGGTGTTACTTCTATTTTCTTTCTGTTAACTGAAATTTCCCTCTAAGTGAAAAACCTATTAACCACTTTCCTTGGCTTAAAAGAATAAATAAGTAAATCTAAATAAATTTGTAAAGTTTTTGAGTCAGGCAGACCAGGGTTGAAATCCTTGCAGCAGTTTGACCAACTTTATTTAAACTTTCCCAGCCTTGATTTCCTTCACAGTAAAGCAGGGCCAACAGTAGGCCCAAAATCATAAGGTGGACATGAGGATGACGTGCAATAATGTACAGGAATTGCTTGGCACCATGCCAGGCACACAGTATTAACGTAGCACATTCTATTTCTAACAAATATTTATTGGATGCCAGCTGTGTGCCAAGTTTTGAGGTCAACAACATAACAAATTCAAGGATAAATAAGACACAGATCATACTCTTCTCACCTTAGGCTAATACCTCCAAGGATCCCACGATGCCTGCCTTCCCTGGAACCTCAGGCCTTGCGCTATCCCTCTCTTCTTCTGAGTCATCAACCTCTCCCTCGGCAGTGAATCCTTCCCATCAATAGTTCATGTGCTCAAATGTCTCAGTCTTGAGAAACAACGTTCCCTGCCTGTTATGCTTCTTCCCAATGACTTCCTTGCCTCTTTTCTACTTCCAGCCAAACTTCTCCCTCTAGTAATTCAAAGACTGACTGACGTTCACTCACTGTCCCTCCATCCGCTTCTCCCCCCATCTAACCCATATTTTGCCCTCACCCCTGCCCTGAAAGTGCCCTTTCTGAAGGCGTCATTCCTTCTACGGCCGTTTATCGAGGGGCTCCTCTGCAACACTATCTTAGGCCCAAGGAACACCAGTGTCGAGACCAAGCCCTGCCCTCATGGAGCTGGCACCCGAATGACACAACACCCACAAGAGAACAAAGAAAAAGGTCATCTCAGATGGTGACAAGAGCTAGGAAGAAGTAACTCCAAGCCACTTAATTCCATGGACACCTGTTTTTCTTTCAAATGTTTCAAATGTTGATTTTTACTCCTCTTTTGGGATGTTTTTAAAGCTTCCTAATCCTGATTTTATTTTCTTATAATGCAGTACTTAATACATAAACGTAATGTTAATTCTATTATTATATCAATATTAATTAACCTATAATAAGTATGCCTATTACTTTTATTTTACATGTAGTATTTTATGTACACATGACAAAAAGAATCATGCAGTGAACATCGTGTACTGTCATCCAGACTGAGAAGTACAAAACACGCTCTGGGGTCACTGAATTTGACCTCTGAGCAGCCGGGACGGGTTGCCATTCCTTCCTTGTTAACACACTCCTCTGGCTTCCTTGGCATCGCGCTTCCCTCGCCTTCCCGGCAGCTCCTTCCCGTCTTTTCTGGGGAAGAGCTTCCTTCCTCCTCAACTCACTGCCTCGCTGTTTCGCCTCCCAACCGTTCTTCCCCTGGTCAGTGGCCTCCATCTCCATGGACTCTCTCAAACGTTTATCTTCAGCCCAAGCATTTCTTGCACAGGACCAACAACTGCCTATGTGACGTGTCCAGTGTCTCTCAAACTCGGTGCGTCCAAACTGAGCCTCGTCGTCTTTCGCTGCTCGACCCCCCTCCTCTGTTCTGTGTCGCAGGGACTTGCCCGCGTCAGACCCGAGGAGGCACCCCAGCAGCTCGCCCTCTCCTCTCCTCTCCTCCCTGTCAGTTCATGGCCACTTCAGCCTCCAGATGGATCCCAAGTCCATCTGCCCCTCGCACGTTCTCTGACACCACACTAGTCCCAGCCTACCATCTCTCTCAGATTTCTGCGATAGTCTCGTAATTGATTCCCGGCATCCACCATGGCCCCTTCCATCTAGTCTCCACACTTCAGCCAGGATGCTTTTTAAAAAATGCAAATTCAATCATGTCATGTTTCTACTTAAAATTCTTAATGTCTTTTCATGGGAACTTTGTCTGTCTAGTCATCACTGTATCCTCAGGGTATAAAGCAAGTTCCTAGCAGAGTAGACACTTAATGAATGAATATTTATTGTGTGAATAAACAAGTGAATATTCATGACCTTGTGCAAGGAGTCTCTGTGTCAACCAAACTGGAAGAGGGAATGAAGCCCATATATGAAAAACCCACAGTTAACATCATACTCGATGACAAATAATGAAAGCTTTCCCCTAAACAAGGGTACTCGCTCTTGCCACTTTTATTCAACATGGCGCTACAAGTCTCAGCCAGCGCAATTAGGCAAGGAAAAGAAATTAAAGGCATCTGGCTTTTTGGGAAAGACTATCACCCTGTGTTCACATTGCTTGTAACTGCTCAGGATTCCAAATAACTTTATTTGGAGCGAGTAGGGGGGCCTCACTTAACTTTTTTTGGCAGTTGACACTTAATGCTTTTGGGGTGTTTATTTGGCAGGAGAGTTAGTAAAGTGAATGATAAATGCTATTTTTGGAAGATTAGCATTGACAGTTTGGAAGTTTGGAAGTTTGGGCACATTTGACCCCTTTTAAAAACTGCTCTTTAGATAAGTAAATCGAAAGGGAACAGGAGTTAGAAATGCAGATTCTCAGGTGTAGCCCCAGAATCACACCTTAAGAACCAGGAGAGTAATAGAATGTAATAGCTAGAGAGCCCAGAAATAAATCATTACATATATAGCTGATTGATATTTTTCCCAGCTTGTTAAAGGTATAATTGATATCACCAAATGATATTGACAAGGGTGCCAAGACCGTTCAACAGGGAAAGGACAATCCTTTCAACAAATGACGTTGGGAAAACTGGATAGCCACATGCAGCGGAAAGAAGCTGAGCTATATACAGACATTAATTAAAATGTATCAAAAACCTAAACATAAGAGCTAAAACCATAAAACTCTTAGAGGACAACTTGCACAGAAATCTTCATGACATTGTATTTGGCAATCATTTCTTACATATGACCCAAAAAGGCATAAGCTGATACAAGAAAAAGTAGATAAATTGGACTTCATCAAAATTAAAGGATTTAGTACATCAAAGGGCATTAACAAGAGAATGAAAAGCCAATCCACAGACTGGAAGAAAATATTTGTAAATCATATATCTGATAAGGGGTTAATACTCAGAATACAGAAAGAATTCCTATAATTCAACAACAAAAAGAAACAACCCAGTTCAAAAATGGAAAAAGGACTTGCACAAACATTTCTCCAAATAAGATATATAAATGGCCAGCAAGCACATGAAAAGATGTTCAACATCATTAGTTGGGGGAACTACAAATCAAAACCACAGAGATACCACTTCACACCCCTTAGGATGGCTATTATTAAAAAACAGAAAGTAACTGTTGATGAGGATTTGAAGAAATTGGAACTTTCCTACATTGCTGGTAGGAATGTAAAATGGTGCAGCCTTTGTGGAAAAGGTTCGCAATTCCTCAAAAATTAAATGTAAAATTACCAAAAGATCCAGCAATTCCACTCCCAGTATATACCCAAAAGAACAGAGAGCAGGGCCTCAACAGGTATCTGTACACCCATGTTGCCAGCAGCATTATTCATACTGGTAAAAGGGAATTCTTCACCGTTGGTTTTAAAGCTTTCAGATATGGATGGAACTACACTGCTGACTCTTCCGGGTCTTGGGTCGCCAGCTCACCCTGAAGAGCTTGTCACTTGTCAGCCTCCATAATCACATAAACCAATTCCTTATAATAGATCTCTATTTTATATTATAATATATAAAGAGATTTCTTATGCTCATATATAGGATATGTACATCCGCCCATATATATACACCTACATAGGATAGAATACACACACACACACACACACAAGTATCTCCTATTGGTTCTGTTTCTCTGGAGAACTTTGACTACTCCAGGCAGGAACGGAAGTGAGAAAGAAACGACCGTCATTAAAGGTTTGAGAGTTTGGAAGTCCCTGTCCCTGATCAGTCTGAGGGCAGCAGGTTCATAGTAGAGTTGACAATGAGCTGGGCCTTAAAGGTACCATTTCTAGAGATAGGAGTGGAAGAGTAAGAGAGGTGAGAGAGAAGATGGAGAAAGTTCCAAGTGGAAGTAACAGTAGGAGCCAAGACATGAAGACAGGAAGATGTTGGCTGCGTTTGAAAAATAATGCATCACAGTATAGCCCTTTATAGTTTATTGCTTGCTTCCTCACACCCTGTTGAGTCATCACATAGGAAGCAGTAAAAAATTGGGACCCTAATTAGTAATAATCTTGTCAAACATTCCACACACCGCCAGACCTAGGTTTTAGCTCCCATCCCCAAAGCCATGCCTCTAGAGTGAAGTACAGTCTATTCAGGACATAACACAGTCTGGCCCCAGATCGCCTTTTTTCCTCTTTCCCACAAACCCTCTCCAGATACACTGCATTTCAGCCAGACAAGGCTTGGAATTTCCAGAGAGCGCCTAGGAACCTAAACATCTACAGGATATATACTTGCACCTATATATATATATATACACACACACATACAGGAACCTGGGTGTAGGTTGCAACTGACTTAGACAACTCAAAAAAGCCAAACCCTAAAATGCCAACAGGGAAAGCTGAGAAGCACCCTGATTCCTTCCACAAAACCCTACAAGGCTAGTGAATTGGCAGGTGCAAGGACCTCTGGAACTGCGGATGTGTGTGCATGTGTGTGCATGTGAATGGCAGGGGAGGTGAAAGTTATCTGAGGAGCAGATGTCCCCCTTCCACTCTGTGTTACTAGGTAACTGTCTCCCCCTCACTTCCACACAGACCTGCAGGTTTATTCCTTGGACTGGGCAAAACAGACGTCTCCGAGCTGCGGGACACCAGTACCCCGCAGAGCACGGGAGCGGTCTCTACAACAGCGGTGTGCTGAGGGCTTCATGTTGAGGCAGTAAAAAGGATGTGCCTTCCTTTCTGCCTCCTTTTAGCAAACAGCACACAGGTGGCCAGACCTTCTCCCTCCTTGGAAAGAGACTGCTAGATTCTTTCCTGGGAAAACTGACTCTCCCCAGAGGAAAGACCTAAAGACCCAGACATTTGGAGATTCTCCCAGCAAACAGCCCCACCAATGAACCCCCTACACCGAGCATACACTGAGGATTTTGGTTCCATGTCAGCCATCTGCCTTCTGTCCCTCCACAGCCTGGCTCGCCTTACCCTCTGCATGGGGAAGAGGTTGAGGCACAGACAACACAAGCAAGCTCCCTCACTCTCGGACTGGCTTGGCCACTGGGAAACCCGGGAAGACAACAAGAGGGCAGGGGGAAGTGGGTCAGGGCACTCGTTCCTCCGTCCCTCTCAGAAGGCTCACCTCAGACTGCCGTGTCTCTCAGCCAAAGCGACGGCTCTCCTACACTCTGCCTTCGTAAACAGCCATTTTGTAAATAAGTCCTCCTGAAATTGTCCAAATTTGAATGAACCTTTTGTTACTGTTGGGACCTAACTGATAAAGTTCCCCTCTCATAAATGATCAGACAGTCCAGGATTTACCAGACAGTTGAGATATGCCTCAAGCATGGAAGATAAAATTAAACAAAAACAAACAAACAGAATGAAAAGCAATTTGCAGAAACAGAGTCTGTGTAGGAAGACGACTTAAAAACAAGTAGCACTAATAGCCTCAGCGAGACAGTACAAAAGATACTGCATTCATGAAACAGAAACGGGGTGCTATTTAAAAAGAGGAAGAACATTCAGAGACCAAAAAAGAGCTCTCAGAAATTAAAAACATGAAAGCAAAAATCCAATACTGCACAGGAGGCCTGAAAGATAAAGAAATGTTCCACAAGGCAGAGCAAAAACAAACAGAATATAAAAGGAAAAGAAAAGTAGAGACACAGTCCAAGAAATATACTATTTGAATAATAAGAAAGAAAAGAGAAAAGAGAGAAGATATGATGAAAATAAGAAGTTTTCTCGGAAGCAAAGGACATGAGCTCCTGGAGTGAAAGAGCCAGCTGTGTGCCTAGTACCTAAGGGATGAAACCAGACCCACATGAAGGGGAAACTGAGGACAAAGACTGCACAAACCTTCAAAGAGAGAAAAAAAATAATTATCACAAAGGACTGATGTGTCAGTGACTAATTTATTGCTTCTCAGCTTCAACTCCACCTTTTAATATCGTCTCAGTGATAATGGACAGGATTTGTTTAAGCATTTCGCCTTTACAGGGAGCACAATGTTAAGCTTTCTAGGTAGAAGGCACTGGAGGGACATTGCAAGAGAAAGAAGCATTTCCTGTTGGTTCCAGCAGCTGCACAGTAGGTCAGAGATGTGGGTGGAAGGACGTCCTGAAGTGTTGCTTCCTGCTTGCGCAACAACTGCCGACCAGCTCTGGCCCAGCAAACCAGCAGTCTTCTCTGCCATCCATTGGGCTAAAACATCAAGTTCACCAGTGAGGTCTGACCCCTGCCTCAGGAAAAGTCGTTCCAGATTTATTCTTCCTTGGCTCTTTTGCTCAGCCCTCAGATTCCACAGAGTCCATGTACATTTACATTCTTTTGTCATAGGTTAATACTGCTTAGTGGTAAAATTCCCTGTTCAAATCACTGTGTGGTTCTGTCTCCTGATTGAACCCAGACTGACAGATTCAAGAATCAGAATGGTTTGGTCTCAGCAGCAATATTAAAAGAAATCAAAATGGTGATGGGAAGATATTTCCAACCTGGAATTCTATACCCAGCCAAAATATGAATCCAATATGAGGGTAAAACATGGACATTTGAAATAAACCCCTGAGAGTTTGGAGCTTCACACAAAAATGGGATCAGTAACAGCAGTAACAGAACAACCTTGTGGGAACTGTAGGAGCCAAAAAGCAGCAGCAGAGACTCCCAGGCCCACCTGTGCAGGGGGAAATGACAGCTCCGTCAGGAAGAACGGGCCTACACCTACCTGTGCACAGAAATACCCAGGGTTCTGCAGCTAAGACAACCCACTGTGGAACAGCCCATCATTCCCTCCTTGCCTTTAGAATCACACTCTCTCTTCCAGACACACTCAGCTGTGGTTTGTGAATGCCAGGCTCACTGGGACTTTCCAGGGCTTTCCTTTCCCCTCCCCATTCCTCTGCCCTCAGCCCTCAGGTCCAAAATTAAACAATCAAGACACACTTCTGCCTCCAGGCACCACACCCATCCACTTCCTGGAGTTCCACCCCCACCCCAAGGTGATGGAGGGGAAGGGCCTGGGGGGTGGATGAATAAATTGGAAGTTGGCCAATCCTTGGAGCCATAGGGCAGGGCAGTACGGGAAGGACACCGAAGCCGTGGAGCTAGTGGGGGGTAGGCTCTCTTCCACTTAACACTCCTCAAGGGCTCTGGCTTACTCCCAGAATAAGGCTGAAATGTTTGGACAGAGAAAGATAGTCTCCAGAAACTGCTCCTACTTTTATCTCCAGCCTCATCTCTGGCCAGTTTGCTCTACTGTCTGGGCTCCAGCCACAATTAACAATGTTCTTGCATTCAAGAACACTGACTCGACATGAGTATTTGGAGTTCTTGCCCTGGACCACACGCTTAGAATGCCCCACATCCCACACACCCAGACACACACACACACACACATTTATTTAATACACGAGCTCCAGTCACTCAGGATCAGGCAATTGTTGCTGGTGCAGAACCACACCCTACCCTAACCATCCACTTAACCACTCACAGGAGTGGTAGCCATTGCAGCGGCTTCTTCACACCCACTGCCCTGCTCTACACTGGAGCAGCTACAGGGGTTGGTGGGACTGACCGCACCCCCAGCCAGAGCGATGAGCCCAGAGTCATCTAAGTCAGTCAAGGGGCCTCCCCCTGTAGCACACACACACACACACACACACACACACACACACCACAGCACTTCCCTAGCTAAATTGCACATGGTGCAATTTGAGGACAGACACAACGGATGGCACAGGAGACATCTCCTCTCTTGCTCTGGATATGCTATTGGCAGATCTGAGGCCTGGGAAAGGATACAGCCATTTTGCTGCTCCAGAGGGGAGCCAACCTTGAAACATTGCCTTGAAACATTGCCCTTGACACATTGCCCCCTAGCACTACCAAAAAGACAACTGGATTTGGCTGAACTAAACCCCCTCACCACTGCTGGGACTTTCCTGAATCCCCAGCCCAGGCTCAGCAAACCCGAACCCTCAGGCCATATTGGATGCTGCCTGTCTTTGTTAGCGCTCACAGGTGAATCTCATGAATGTAAAAGAGGCCAGACACAAAATAGTATAGATGACATGTTTCAATTTATATAAAGTACAAAACCTAGCAAAACTGATCTATGGTGCTGAGGTCAGGATAGAGATCACCTTTGGGGAGGAGGGTGTTAGTGTCTGGAGCAGGGGACAAGGGAGGTTTCAGGTGGTAGTTACATGGACAGTTCACTTATTAGAGTTATTTCTAGACATTTGTTTTCAAAGTTTATTATAAATGGCATTTTTCTTTGATTTAATACTTCCCGATTGAAATATACATCACCATGAAGTGTGATAACCTTAAGTGTACAATTCAATGAATTTTTGCACAGGTGTACAATTCGATGAATTTTCACATCATGAATGTTCCACCCAAATCGAGATACAGAATATTTCTAGCATCCCAGAAGGTTCTTCCCCAACCCCATCCCCAGCAAAAGTAACCAATACTCCGAATGACTATTGATTGGTTCTGCCTTTTCTTGATTTTGGCATAAATGAAATCATACAGAATGTTATCTTTGGTGTTCGGTTTATTTTTGTTCAACATAATGTCTGTGAGATTAATCCATGTGGTCATGTGTCTCCCTAGTTCATTCTCTGTATTGCCATGTAGTGTCGTATTGCATGAAAATACAACGCGTTGACCCATTCTACTGGTAGACATTCGGACTGTTCTGACTTTTGCTTTTGTAAATAAAATTACTGTAAATATTCTTGTACATGTCTTTTGATGGACATACGCACATATTTCTCTAAACTAGGAGTGACTTTTCAGGTCATCGAGCAGGCATTGTAGCTCCAGGGGAAAGCGTGTTCCTAGCCCGGAGTGAATGAACCAGTGAAACTAATGAAGCCAAAATCAGTAGAGGAAAAACTAAAGTGGGAATCCTTTGGATATCACCTTTTTTGAAATGCCCATTCAAATCTCATGCCCATTTTAAAATTGGATTGTTCTTGTTTTCTCATTTATTTGTAGTTCTTTATATATTCTGATATAAATTGTTGTCTATGTATAATATAAATATCTTTTTCCAGTCTAAGGATGCAATTTCACTCTCTTAATGATGTTTTTGATAAACAAAAGTTCTTCCTTTTAATAAAATTTATAGTTTGACAATATTTTAATTTTATGGTTAATGCTTTTCGTGTCCTATTTAAGAAGTCTCTCTACTTCAAGGTCATAAATATAGTCGTTGCTTTCATCTGGAAGCATCATTGTCTTACCTTTTATGTTTGGCCCAGGATTCATTTTGAATTAATTTTTTGTATATGGTGTGAGGTAAGGGTCAATTTTTTCCCCCATACACATCCAATTGCTCCACCACTATATATATTTATGATTAGATATAGAAATATAATCAATTTTTTATTTGACCTCATATCCATAATCTTCCTAATTCATTTATTAGTGGTAATAGTTTATGAACTTTTTTGGGTTTTCTAGGTATATAATCATATTGTCTGCGATGATTGCTTTATTTCTCTCCCATACTTGCAACTTCAATATTTTTTTATATTTTTGGAGAAAAATATTGACTAGAAATTATGATAGCGGATAACCTTGTTTCCTTCTCAATCTCGGGAGGAAAGGCTTCAATATTTGACTATTAAGTAATGATATGAGACGTAGGCTTTTTATTATGCTCTTTATCAGAGCAAGGAGCCTTTTTCTATTCCTAGGTTTCTCAAAGGTTTTATTATGAATAGTGTAGAATTTGATCAAACACTGTTCCCCTATCTATTGAGATAGCCATGTGTTTTTCATTCATTGTGATAGTATGATGAATTACACTGATAAGATAAGTTTTCAACTCCTATACCAGTCTTGCTTTCACAGAACAAGTTCTATTTGTTGTGATGTTGTAAGCTTTTTTTATATAGTTGGAATCAATTTGTTAATATTTTGTTCAGGATTTTTATATTTATGTTCATAAAAGGGACTAGCCTGCAATTTTTTCTTATTAATGTTCTTGTCAATTTTTGTTATCAAAATTATGCTGGTCTCACAAAATGAGTTGGAAGAGTTTGAGTAAGAATGATGTTATCTTTCCTTTAGATGTTTGGAAGAATTCAGCAGTGAAACCTCCTGAGCCTGGTGTTTTCTGTGTTGAAGTTTTTTAATTTTAGATACAATTTCTTTAACAGATATAGGACTCTTCAGATTCAGGTTTTCTATTCATTAATGTTCTGAAAAGTCTTTTTCAAGGAATGTGACTATGTTACTGAAAATGTCACATTTGTGTACAGTGGTTCATTATATATCCTCTTATTTTCTTTGTAATGTCTATTGTGATTATTTCCCTTTTCATTCTTGATTTTGATAATTTATGCCCTTTTCCAAAAGTATTTATCAGTCTTGCCACAGGGGTCATCAATTTTATTAGTCTTTTCACAAAACTATAATTTTTCTTTTCAAAATCCCGTAATTTTTGGAATGTTGTAATTTCAATATCATCAAAGTTCAAACTATCTTATTCCCATCAATTTCTTCTTTTATTCATGAGTTATTTAGAATTGTATTACCTAATTGCTAACCATTTGTAGAGTTTCTACTCATCTTTTTATTGTTGCTCTCTTAAGTCCACTGTAGTCAAGAACCTATTCTGTACTATGTTAATCCTTTAAAATGTGTTGAGATTTATTATATGATGCCATATATGGTAAGTTTTGGTCAACCCATGTACTCTTTAAAAGAAAGTAAATTTTGCAATTAAGGAGGCAGTATTCTAAATGTCACATTCCATTAAGTTTCTTCATTGTGTTTTTTAAATTTTGTGTATCTTTACTTATGTTTTTATCTGTTCTATTAATTACCAAGAGAAATTTGTTTAAATCTCTGCTGTGATTGTGGATTTGTCCTTTTTTCCTTTTAGTTCTGTCCATTTTTGTTTCACATATTTTCAGGCCATGTTCTTAAGTACATATAATTTAGGCAGATCATATATTTCTGGTCTTCTTATTATTATGAAATCTTCCTCTTTATTTCTAGTACAACTTTTTGTCTTAAAATATACTTTGTCTGATATAAGTATATTGGCTGTCAGCTTTCTTGTGGTTACTGTTCACACTGTACACCTATTCCTTCCTTTTACTTTTAACCTTTTTGTATAATTATAGTTAACACGTGTCTCTTGCAAGCAGCATACAGTTGAGTTTTACTTCTTATGCAATTCA